TACCCTGAATGGGATGGAGTGTCTACCCTGAATGGGATGGAGTGTCTACCCTGAATGGGATGGAGTGTCTACCCTGAAGTATACCCATTAGACTGAATGGGTAAATTGAAATATGAAGTCGCTCATTCAGTGTTATAGAGATATGAATGTTTTTATTCATTTCAGTTTACCATGAGTTCAAATGGAGGTTAATTCCTCTGTTTTTTCCCCCTTTTGAAGTCCTTGTAATTCACAATGGGGAGTGTTTCCCAGTTTGTGTTAAAAAAAAAAAAACACACACACATCTCCTTATTTTGTAACCAATAGTTCCTTTTATATTCTAAACAATGCTTTCACTCTTTAACACACTATCAGTCAGTGAATGCGGCCAGCAGGTGACCCAGCATTTCTCCCAGCATCCCGTGGGAGTGAGTTGGGGGGAGGGTGCTGCCTCTGTGCGGGTGAGTTCTAGAGTAGACGGAGCTCTGTGAACATGTCCCCAGGTCGGCTGCACGCCTTCTGGCATACGCAAGACGTGATCCACTGCATCTTCCAGCGGACGCTGGTGGGGGCACCGCCCCCTGCAGGCGCACAGCTGAAGCGCACCGACACGGTGCGCGAGCCGTTGGGGACGCAGCAGCGGCGGTCGCTGCACACGCCGCAGTAGGTGGGCCGATAACTCTGGACGCTCAAGCAGCCCGAGAGCCGCAGCCTCTCTGCTTTCTTTGCCTGGAACTTGGGCTGGCAGGTCTTTCCTTTGGCAATCTATGGGTCAGACAACATAGAGGCAGCCTTAGAACAGTGATGGTGAGATTCACCTGCACTTCATTCAGCAGGTATTCAGCAGGTATTTCAGCTCTATGTGGTCTGGCACAGTTTTAAAAACAGGCATCTAGCCAGGATCTTAAATCGTATTTGTGTTTTGTTAAAAAAGTCCCCGGACTCGTGGTTCTGCGTTCTAAGATCGTACGTAGCAGGCAGAAAGCTGACAGTAACTTTAGACTTTAAGGCGTGTGGATTTTGAATAGCCACCTTCACATTCTTCAGCGTGGCCTTGTCACATGGCCTCAGAAGGCAGAGGCGCCGCTCTTTTCGCATGTCGCACTTGCTGTTGTCGTTGTTGACCCGAATGGAGATGCCGATCCCGCAGGTCCGAGAGCATGGGCTCCAGGGAGTGGACTGGACCAGGCAGTTCTTCTTCCAGGCTAAAGGACGATCCCTGTAAGCTTTCATTATTACTATTAGAGGCACCGTAAGGACGGTATCGGCACACACCTTCTCTCTCCCACCAAACGCACTGCGTGTGAAACTTATACATTCGATTTAGAAATTTAGGTTCATGTTGAGATTTGTTGGTCAAAAAATAAGCTGAATTCATTTTTTAAAAGGAACGTTAATTTGTGCTGCTCAAATTCCATGCTGACTAACCGATGCCTGAACTAGAGAATCACTTTAGACCAAACTAGCGGTCTAAATGCGTACTAGGAATGTGCAAACACACACCTGGCATGGTCCCGTAATTCGTGTCCTGTTGCTGTTTAGCAGTGTTCACGGCGGCGCGGAGGGGGGCGGGACCGAGCAGGCCTGCAGGCTTCTGGGTGAAGGCCGGCATACAGCCGATGGCACCCGCGATGCACATGCACTTGTAGAGCGGGTTGGGCTGGAAGGCCTGACCGTTGTCGTAGAGAATCCCATTCAGGTCACAGCCCACCGCCATCATGTCTGGGATACAGGGATACATAGCAGCAAACCCAAAACCGGATCTAGCAGTGCTCAGTCCAATATCAACAGGCTTGTTAAGAATTAAGACCCCGTCAGATTGCATTTAAGCAAAGTAGGGCTGCAGTGATTAGTCAACGTAGGCGATGACTTCGACGCTGAAAATGCATCAGCATCAATAAATTTATACAGATTGCTAACTTTTTTCGGCATCACAATATGCCTCATTAATATTTTGAAGGCATACTACTAATCTGCTTCTCAAAATGTTGCTGTAAGTAACGTCTGTATAGTGCGGAAAAGCTGATGTCCGTTATCCAATGCAATGACAATTTTATTTTGACAACAACAAACTAACTTGAATGAACAGTAAATTTGGTTTTCTGGAGGAAAATTAGTGTTTTAGATTAATCGAACCATCTGCAAAATAGTCGATAGATTAATTGATAGAAAAACAGTCGTTAGTGGCAGCCCTAAAGCAAAGGTGAATCACTAATAAAATTGGGTTTAGGTGACCTCTTCCTGAAATCATTAAATGAGAATCTTGGACACATTCCAGAATCGACGCCGAACGTGGTGGAACCACAAAAATCTGCAATGTCGGGATTTGCCGCTTAAAAGCTTGCAACCAGCTTCCACGATGTTTAATGGGGTTTAAGGTGATGTGACCAGTACTCACAAGCGCACACGCCGATCTGGAAGCGCGGCCGGTCGGCAGAGAAGTCGCAGTACATGCCTTTGTGCGGGTCGCAAACATGCCGCTCGTCACAGGCCTCGCCCACCTGCCGCGCGCAGGTCTTGCAGCAGCCGCAGCCGTCCAGCACCGTGCTGACCCCTGGGGGGCACTGGGGCCTGGGGCCGCATTTGCACGGCCACTGGCACAGCGGCTGGCGATCGCTCGGGGCCGGAACCAGCGCCTGACTCCACACCCTGCAGAACATCTGGATACAGTGGGATCAGGCTGGCATCTGCAAGCCCCCTGAAACCCGGAAATCTCCTCCCGAATCGGCCCGAAACCAATCGGAATGTAAAAATGTAAAACCTGTTTTACCGTTGTAAAATTTACATTTACAGTATGTTAAAGTTTATTTAGGATGATACCCAATGTACCCCCTATTCGTTAGCTTAATTTAAAGTTGTGTAGCACAAGGTCTAGTTGTACTAACTTCTGCACAGAATCTAAGGAAAAACAGAAAATTGATCCTGTATGATTTATTTTTCTTATAACCATAAAAAATGGATGCTATGTATGTGTTCCGTTCAGCCATTAATAGAGCAATTTATTTAGAAGGAAGCAAGTTAAAGGTGGCCTGTGAGTACAGAAAACGGATTCAGACCCGCCCCCCGCCCCCCCCGATGTAAACAACTGGCTTCTTTGTACCATAATGCTCAGTGGTATTTCACTGAAATTCAACATGCAGTGGAGTAATCATCTCCGCTTAACAGTCTCTGCGTTCATGCTGCAGATGTTCCTGGTTTTGCTCCCGAAAAGTGACCATTTGCAGGCGAGTAACGAAGAAAAACATTTAAAAAGGTTTGTTTACTCCTGTTCAGATCCCTGCACTGTCACTGCTGTCCTGGCCTGTCCGACTGTATCGACACCCTGGTGCTTCTTGGGGTCGGCGAAGGTCGTGTCAAAAAAAACAGTCTGAGGCCTTTCTGTCTGGTTTACAGAATGAGATCCCCTCAGAGCATGAGAACGCTTTGGTTTGAATGGAACCCCCCCCCCCCCCTCCCCACACC